TACCCTTTCTTATGCAAACTGAATAAAAAATAAAATTCTCTAAAAGCAGTTCTTAGTTGAGCACATTTTATATACAGAATAACGTGTCAATTCTGTCTAGCCCTTTCCTATATATTATTTCGAAATGTTTTTGTATAAGATATTTTACTTCTAATATGCATATAAGCGTATTTAAATAATGATATAGTAAGGTAAGTACTTTGGTTGTTGGTCTACAATAAAAATAGGGAAAATACTATTAAGAATTGTTATTATTTGAGATAATTTGTTTACTATAAATTACACATGTATAATTATGCACATATGTATACATCTATATATATTTTATTTGAATTAATGTTTTACACTAACAAAGAGAAATTAGTCATCAACACACCTAAATAGATTTCTGGTCACCAGAATGTTAACATCAAAATACGTTTACAGTGTAGCATGATTTTCCATACTCACACAAATTTATGTACATTTACGATAATCGTTTCATGCTAATAGGTTCCATTGACATTAGCTCAATGTTATCTGTAAAGCAGATAGTTAAAAATTACTATTAACTATTAACGATTAACGTAACAATTATCGATATACATATAGTATAGAATACTATACAGTTAGCTTATTCTAATTTACTTACTACTAATTCAACAATTTTTGTACCTTATGTCATTTATCATGTAACAATTAAGTCTATGTTGGCTTGAATTAAATTAACTGATGAGTGGCAGGCATCATGGTGAGTAGGACCAGTCATTCACGATTATTCGTTGGAAGAAGGTGACTCTCGTCTTTTTTCTGCATGCTTTTTTGTAAATTCTTCTGCATTCTTTACAAACTTTTTCCTATCCTTCAAAAACTCCTCCGCAAGATCTGTCCTCATTGGATGTTCTGGTTCTGGATCATTTACTAAAGCTATCAAAGCTTCTACAACTGAGGACAAAAATTTAAACTACACTATACAGCTATGTTTTTTGATAATAGTAAAAAGTAAAATTCAATTTCACCTTGGCCTGCCTTTGTAGCTGGTTTCCAATTCTCATCGCTTATAATCGGTAAGCATATTTGTCCCTTTTCATTTATATTTGGATGATATATTTTTGTTTTAAAATTTATTCTGGGTGGCTTGAAAGGATACTCTGCTGGAAAGTTAATCTCAATACGAAATGCCCCCTTATTATATGGTGGATTATCCTAAAACATTTACACTGTTAGAATTTAATTAAATGTATTATAATTTTCTATGCCGATAGAAAGATGAGACAATTCAAATCTGAGTTTTCATTAACATTCGAAAACCTCTGATAACTGTAATTTACTCTATAAGCAAAGGAACATTAGGTTATGTTTCCGAATTAAAATTATTATCGGAACTTACCGGCAATATAAGACCTTGCCATGTGAGCATATTCGATTCATCAACTTGGATATTTGTGAAGTTTTTCATAGGCGACGTTCTTAGGTCACGAAGTTCCTGGAAAGAGGTAACGTACCATCATTCGTAAGTCCCATGCAAGCAATCTAAATACAGGTAACATTCGGAAGAAATAGTGTAATGTTTGTCAGTGGTTTACAAAGAATTACCTTCTGTAATCTTTTTACACGTGCCATTATGAAAATAAATTTCACTAAAAAACTAGCAGAATTGTCAAGCTCCTCACCGACGTCTTCGCAACATATATCCGCTGTCCAAAATTCCCCAGCGTTTCTACATTAGAAAATTTTTCAAGCAGAAATTTCTGCGAATTCTCCTTAGTCACGTTTCTTTTTCACAACTCGCATCAACACGAATACGAATACAAATTTGCAATTGATTATGGACAACAATAAATCCGGCACAATTCGCTATCTGTTTAATCGAAAGCAGGTGCGCATGCGTACACAATTCATGCTCTTTTCTGTGTTTTTATATGTAACATACGTACATATACATACGTGGAATAACGTTTCAATTGGTTTCAATCAAAAATACCACAGGTTAAAGATGGAATGAAGTATGTATATTACAAATAGGTTCGAATCTAACTAGATAGTTTTGTATAATTCAGCGAACACATCCTTTGAAAAATATTTTTAAGTAAACCTGAAACCAGGCAAGAAAGCTTCAACTTCTTTGCAGGTATTTTGAGAAATATAAGCGGTACTTTTAAGTATAATCGTACCTTAATCGAATATAGGCAAGCCTTTCACAAATATGTACTTCAATTCGAAGTTTTTTTATTCTCTGCAATTTTGTGATTTAGTGTGACTTTTAACGATGACGCTCGTTGAAATAGAAATCTAATAGAATAAATAGAAACACTAATTTACTGAAAACTCCAAAGGATTTGTATTGCACAGAAGTATATTTTATCGAGGTAAGTTACTTTTATAGAAAACATTAAATTTCTAATGACATTTGAATTTCGATATTCTCTGATTTTAGAAAAATTTCATTGATTACAAGATGTTTCTTGTATATTTTTACATTCATAATTTCCTGTAATTTGTTTCCAATTGCTCTGTTATGGGTTTCAAGTTTTTTGTCAATAACTTTTGGGTTAACATGGAAGTGAAAATAGAACAGTATATCAAATGCATTTATGCTCCAGGAGATGCAGTAACTATTCCATTTTGTAAGCATATTGATGACATCACTTTCTCCTTGTAAGCGTAATAATACATATAATTGAAATTACATAATTTTAACAATATGTTGCAACTTTACAACTTCTAGAGAAATCAGTGGCCAAGTGTTTTATGACCAGTTCATTGACCTCGTCAAAGGGGAATGCACAATACAAGAATTTCTTAGAGAAATGGAGTTTACCAGTATATTTCCATATACGATTTGAAGAGACAGTTGGTGTTGTTATAACTTTTTTAAACAGAACCTATATGACTACCATCTATAAAAAGATTTTTCACAAAATAAAATTTTCTCAATATGCAACATGCATACGATGGGAAAATCTGCAAAGAATTTGGGCATACATATCTCTTTATCAGCTTTTCATAGGTAAATCATAGAATTGATTATGGAAACAATAGCTTTAATTAAAATAATTCTAATGAAAGCATGTTCCGCATAGATTCTGAATATTCAATTTACATGTGTGTGCCAGGCACCAAACGTGGTCCCTAACAGCACTTAAAGAAGTATAATATTTAAAAATTTTTTCAAATTATGTAATACAACGAAGCGAGCATAGTTAGTGCCTGTACACATGTATCTCAAGTCATTTATCATGTAACAGATAAGTCTATGTTGGCTTGAATTAAATTAACTGATGAGTGGCAGGCATCGTGGTGAGTAGGGCTAGTAATTCATGGTTATTCATTAGAAGAGGGCGACTCCCGCCTTTTTTCTGCATGTTTCTTTGTAAATTCCTCTGCGTTCTTTAAAAACTTTTTCCTATCCTTTAGAAACTCCTCCGCAAGATCTGTCCTCATTGGATGTTCTGGTTCTGGATCATTTACTAAAGCTATCAAAGCTTGTACAACTGTAAACAAAAGTTTAGCAGTTACACTGTGCTCCTTTGTTTTAGCGATAGTAATAACTAAAATTAAATTTCACCTTGACCTGCCCTTGTAGCTGGTTTCCAATTCTCATCGCCTATAATCGGTAAGCAAACTTGTCCCTTTTCATTTATATTTGGATGATATATTTTTGTTTTAAAATTTATTCTGGGTGGCTTGAAAGGATACTCTGCTGGAAAGTTAATCTCAATACGAAATGCCCCTTTATTATATGGTGGATTATCCTAAAACATTTATACTTGTTAGAATTGAATTAAATGTGTTGTAATATTCTATACCAACAGAATGAATGACAAATTGTAGTTGCTTTTGCATTTGTAATAGAAAAATAAACGAGTGAAACTCAATAAAAGGAAAGTTTTATCAAAGTTTAACACACTAATTATTTTTTTCTTGCTTCAAATAGATCGTATGTGCAGATAATTTCTACAGAAATGCTGTATTTGTGCTGTATAGACCTATTAAAATCTTAATTTTCATCAACGTTCGCAGACCTCTGATAATTATATCTTACTCAACGAGCGATGTAAGGTTAGGTTATGTTTCCGGATTAAAATAATTGTGCCAGAACATACCGGCAATATAAGACCTTGCCAAGTGAGGATATTCGATTCATCTACTTGGATATTTGTAAAATTTTTCATAGGCGCTGCTCTTAGGTCACGAAGTTCCTGGAAAGGGGAAACGTAATCATCATTCTAAGTCCCATGAAAACAGAGAATCGTAACGTAGATCACTTTCGGAAGAAATAACATAATGCTTGTCGGTGGTTTTCGAAGATAGATATAGAAATATCTAGAATAAAACTTGCAACGATAAAACATTCATAAATAATTGATAGAAAAATGTTAACGTTCTACATTTCATTGAAAAAGCTCGGTGTCATCGATGGTAGGGATTCTCTTTGGTGATACGTTTAATCGGACATGAACGAACATGTGTTATAATTTCAAACATTTTCGAAAGTTATACGAGCATTTATTTCCTTCTGCGATCGGTTCAATCAACCGAAGCTTTAAATTACCTTTTGCAATCTTTTCGCACCTGCCATTTTGAAAATAAATTCCACTAAAAAACTAGCAAAACTTGTCAAGCTCCTCACCGACGTCTTCACAACTACATATATCCGCCCTCCGAAATTCCCCAGCGTTACTACATTGAAAATCTTCCGAGCAGAAGCTTCCGCGAATTCTCGTTAATCGCGTTTCCTTTTCGCAACTCGCATCGACACAAATATAGAAATTTACAATTGATTATGTGTGAATATGAATCCGTTATCCGTTTATCCGGTTTGTTCCGAACAAGCGCGCGTGCGCACACAATTCATGCTATTCTCTTTGTATATTGTATGTAGCTACATGTATATATGTTTGTGTGCACGTCAATACATTTTTCTTTTAATACGACACTATCACCACCTAACGGATCGTGTCATTATCAACTGGTAAATGTGCGGGGATTCAAAATTTTTCGAGATCTTTTTTTAAAAATGGATTTCTTATTTTAACAGAAGCCAAAACGTGTTATGCGAAATTTCTCCACATTGCAAACCCTCGATGGTGATCTAACAGTTCGCGAGCTGTAATGTATTCCGAAGAAGAGTTGCTTGATCTCAATTATATGGCTGTCAACCGCAGGATTACAAAATAGCTCAAACTTTCATCTAGGGAAAACGTGCACTAGGGTTTCAGCTGATTACGTATCTATATATGCTTGTAACCAGTATGTAACCAGTTTGTAGAAAGAGATACAGCAATGGACCCTACCACCCACACACCTCCAAACCGCAGCTTGATCCATTAGCAAGGGTCGATATAGAAATTTTCTTTGCTCTGATTGGCTGACGATTCACTACTCAGACAGGATCCACTGCGGATTGGATGCGCAGTAAAATGATGGAGATGCTTGCGAAAGCTAAGGGTGGTAGAAAAATCGGACAAAACCGAAACCTGATGTACAGTACATACAAATAGGTTAGGGATTGATTAGATAGTTTTTTACAATTGTTTGATTTAGTGTGACTTTTTATCGATAACGTTTGTCGAAATAGCATTTTAGCACAATGTCAAACACAAACATTAATTTACCGAAAGCACCAAAGGATCTGTGTTTCACAGAAATGGATTTCATCCAGGTGCGTTGCACCGCAAATATTAATGTTTTTAAAATATTTGAACTTTGATATTCTTTGATTTCAGAAAAATTTTAATGTAGACACCTTCCTTCAAGAACACAAAAAAAAATCGAAACTGGAGAATATGCGAGACGATTTAGGAATATATTTGAAATTGCTGAGATCTGCTATGATCGATTTAATTAACAGAGATTATATAGATTTTGTAAATTTATCAAGTAACTTAATCGGTTTGGACAAAGCTATTAATGATTTGCAAGGGCCATTGGGTCAACTAAGGGAAGAAGTAATGGTAAATATTGAATATTATGATCAGAATTGTAATAGTAAATAATTTTATATTTAGTTTTCAAATATATTATTTTAATAATATGTAATTTCTGTTATAATAGCAAGTGCAACAGACTTTGAATGATGAGATCAATGCAATTTCTATTAATATCCATGAAAGCAAAAAAATCAGAGAATACAAGCAGAGTTTATTCAGTTTACAACATATTTTCAAATCATTGAATAAACTTTCGTCAGTATTATCGCTAAATACATTCCTGGAAAGTCCAACTAAAATAGACATTTTAGAGCAAGCTGCAACAGAATTCAATCAATTGCAGTTTCACATGTGTAGGTGCAAACTAGATATTATCAAAGACAAGCAGAAGGTGTGCATTGAAAAAGTAAATGTGAATTAATTTTCTTCTCTTTGCAATTAAATGAAAAAATGTGACATATTTTTAGGAATGTAATCAACTGGAACAGTCTTACATGACTCATCTCAATGAACTTTTCTTAGCTTGTATTCAAGAGAAGAATTCTGCCCTCTTAATTCGTTGTTTAAGAATATATGTTATGCTTGATAAAATAAACGATGCAGAGAATTTAGTGAGAGAAGAGATTGTTAGTCCACTGGTCGATGGTGTGATTAGCATGGAGAACCTGCAAGTAGACTCACTTGGCTTACAAAGTATATACAATAGATTATTAAATATTCTGAGCATAGAATTGAAACAACTTCTGGATATTACATTACATCCTAACAGGTACACATTTTATTCCTCACACAGAGATGTTTCTTGAACATTCTTGTATAAATAATTTTTATGATCTAATTTCAGATGCTCTGTTAAGGGTTTCAACTTTTTAGTAAATAGTTTTTGGGTCAATGTAGAAGAAAAAATTGAACAGTATGTTAAATGCATTTTTGCTCCGGGAGATCCAGTATTATTTCATTCTGTAAGCATATTAATAAAGTCAGTTTCTTCTTATAAACGTGTGAATAAAGTCGAAATTACATGATTTCAGCGTTATATAGCAACTTTGGAATTTTTGGAGAAATTAGAAGCCGAATGTGTTACGACCGATTCTTTAAGCGCACTAAAAAATAATTCGCAATACAAGAATTTCTTGAAAAAATGGAATTTACCAGTGTATTTTCAAATACGTTTCCAAGAAATAGCTGGTGTTGTCGAGACTGTTTTAACAGAACCTGTGTCACCGGCGTCTATAAAAGGGACTTTGGAATCTCTCACGAAAAATGAATTTTCCTTGCACGCAACGTGTATTTTGTGGGAAAATCTAGAAAAGATTTGGGCAAATGATGTGTATCTTTATCAGCTTTTTCATAGGTAAATTATAAAATTGATGAGGGAGATGATAATCTTAACTAAAACAATGTAGTAAAAGCATGTTCCATATAGATTCTGGAAATTCAACTTACAAATGTGTGCCAGATACCAATCGTGGGCCTTAGCAGCACTTAAAGAAGTATAACATTTAAAACCAAGTTTAAATTAAGTGGTACATTGAAGTGAATATGTTTAATCAATTTTCTCCAATGCAGGTATGGCCTATAGAAAATGAAGTAGGATCTTCGAGGAAATCGGAGCATTACATGAAACTCAATTTTTTAATATTTCTAAATCAAGATATAGAGAAATTTGTGAAAAAACTCCCATCGCTTCTGGAAATAGCTGAATTGAAACTTAAACAACAGACTCCGATAATATTAAAATTATTAAAAGGTAATAATATTAAGTATTAATATTACTGTACTTATTCAGGCATATGTGCATTAATCTATAGATTCGCTGAGTGAAACTATAAAAAAATTGGAAACCATTTTATCGCAAGTCACTGAAGAAATTGTAAACGAACTTTTAAAGCAATGTATAGTGCATTTGAAACAAGTCAGTGATATTCCACGATTATTTAGGCGAACAAATAGGGACGTATCCACGAAACCGTGCGCTTATGTAAAGAATGCACTCGCCTTTCTTATGAGCTTTCATGCAGATTACAAGAAATTAATCCCGGATAATGTTAATCGTTGGTCGGAATTAACTCTTTCTTCGTTGACCGAACAGTAAGAATCAATAATGGAAAATGATCGTAAATATGAAAGTACTTATTGAGTTCGTCATCTATTGGTAATGAACTTCTTAATCGTACAGTTATCTGGCGTCTGTAACAGACGTTTTAACATCGGTACAAAAAACTGAGGAGAGTCTTCGAAGATTAAAGAAGATCCGGGACAAATCCACAGGTTCCCTTTCTTCTGAAGTTCAAGGAGTCAGCGATGATGAAAAAATACGTATTCAGTTGCAAGTTGATGTACAAGCTTATGCGAACATGGTAATATCGATTTCGAAGATTTACCTTTCCGTTAAACAGAGAATTTGCTACACTATTTATCTTTCAGATTGCGGAAATCGAGATTACATCTTCAAATGTTCGTTATGTGGAAGAGCTATTGCGTACTGTAGAAACAGCAACAAAAAGATAATGTTCTTCTTCCTTTGCTTATTTAATTGTCTCGTCTAAAAATCCAAAACAAGTTTGTATAATCATCTTTGAAGTTATCTATTTATTGGTTGTACATAATAATGTACATAATTTTGTAAATAATATTCATGATGAAAAGTCAGTTAAATTTTTGTCCATTATGAGACACTTGCGTTCTTACTTGTTATTTGTAAATAATTATATAAATATCCAAATTCAAATTTACTTAACAGATATTTAATATTGTTATTTACACAGCCACTATATTATACAAGTCATACTTATGTCTTATTTCTTTTAAGGTAAAGTATGGAATTATTTTACAGTATATTCTGATCCCATGAATCGTTCTGCGGTAATTCAATGGTAGTAACCGTATCTTGATGGGGATAAGATGGATGCCACCAATTCAGAACTTGACAATCAACAACGTCGTTTAATATGACTTGATGCGTTAATGTATTAGGAACATCCGACGTTCCAAAACCCAACTGTAATTGGTATATACCTTGCTTTAATATCGCCACCTTCTGTAGAATTAATCCAGTTACTTGTGGTAGCATGCTATACCTCTGACAGGCTACCTACAAATGGAGAGAAAAATTAAAGTAAACGATAAAAACATAGCAAGTACAAAGTATATTCAAATGGCTTGTACAGCATTAAGTACCCTAAGTAGTTTACAGCCTTGTTCTGGATTTACAGCTACATCTTCCAACATTTCAATAAAATCTGTCTTTCTACCATTTAGTTTAGGCTTCTCTTTCATTGAATTTCTGCTCGATTTTGGTATTTCTTTCAATTTAAAGTAGAAGTACCACACTAGCTTTTCCTTCTAAAAAAAGAAACGGACGAGTTATCATCATCGTTTATAATCTAATACAATTTACACTTTTTATAAGATATATTGCTCACTTTATGCCACATTAAACAACATTTTCGTTTTACGAGAGAATGAAGTCTATAATGGGCCAATGAGAAGAGGTCTTCCTGTCGATAATAGGAAACATTGTCGATGCCTTTTTTTGAAGCAAAATAGATGTAATGTAATGTTCTAATAACACAAGCACGCAATCCATGCATGCGGACCATGCATTGTGGCTGAAGACGTTCTGGTAAACCAGGTATAGGTCTGTAGTAACTGTAATCGTGGTTTCTTTAATATTGCTGATTTAATGTCAAACAATATGTTACTTGTATAATGAAACACTCACGTCTTATATAAATGAAACCAAAATTTGCCAGTTTTAGTTACATGATAAGAATTTTTACATATTCGTGCAAATTTACCTACAGCCTCTGGACAAATGTACTCTGATATAATAAACCATACATCGAGTGGATAATCTATACCTACTAAATAATTAAAATATTAACAATTCATTATGTTGCAGATCTTTAACTAACTTTTGTGTTTATATATTACCTTCTTCTTCTTTTTCTTCCACATTTATAGAATAAATTGCTGTCTTTTTATGTCTTACTTGATGAGTCAATCCTTCACTGTTCTTTTTAAAATTATCTGTATCAGGTAAATGTAAATCATAGGATTGATCTGTTTCATTCCAAACTTCATCATCGATTGTCACTTTTTGTTCCACTGTAAATTATATTTGAATTGTATATAGTGACTAAAATATTTATGAAAGCATCCAAAATCTACATAAAATGTATTTAATAAGAGGAAATGAAAATAACCATAATCAACAGATCCACCGATCGATGCCTTTTTCGGTCTTGCATGGATTCGTGAAGAATTAGCGAAATCGTTGATAGTAACATCTGTAGAGAAACGTAAGGATAGTAGAATAATGGAATATATTGTGCGAATAATACGAATTTCAAATATGAAAGAGACAATTAACCTCCAATCAAATTATTTTTGGTCTCGGTATTAGACCTTTTACTGGACCTTTTTCTTGATATAGGCATATTGTTGCACGCATGTAAACTAGTATATATTGTAACAATTAATCAGGTACCATGCGAAATATACAACTATTTACATCAGCGATAAACGACACTGCAATCGCCCATCGTACAGGGAAAACGTGTTTGTCGATGTTCAAACGCGTGTTTGCGTTCCATACGAATTTCACATTGTATCTAATTGTATCTTTCCATCTGAATAAACCGTTAAATATTTACAGGTTTGCGGAAAATCGCGTGAACTCGTTCCGATTTAGGGGTGATTATTAACTGTTACGCTGGCAAAACATGTCGACTTGTCAAACATTGTAGTTGGTCGACAAAGTTCAAGTGATAAAATTCATGTAGGTTAATGAAGAAGATGAATAAAATTTTACCGTGGAAGTCGGTGAAATATTGATTAATAAGATCTTTTGCTTTTCAAATGCTATATATGTTTTTTTTCAGAATGAGCCTTTCCGTCGAAAATAACAAACGCATTTTTACCTTTCTGAGGCAACAGAATTGTTGCTTAAAATGTTGTCTTCGTTTCATTGGATGGAAATCGTGGGAATGCTTCAATGATCCTGTGAAATTTGTTAAATCTGTAAGTTATAGTTACGGCAGCTTTAATTTATGTTTTGAGTTTATTGCCTTGCTTATTGCAGCTAGGCTATGTCGAAGGAGATGCAGCTATCATCGATGAGACACGCTGCATGGCTTGTCTGGGGATTCTTCAAGATGAAATGTTAGAATTAGTCGCTCAGAAAGTATGTTAAAGTGTTTAACTTTAAACGTGTAGGCTTAATATAAATTTGAAATAATTTTATAAACAGATACAAACTGAAGTAGAAAAACAGAATTACGACAGTGATACGTTTCTATGTGCATTGACAGTACCTACATGCGTGAATCTCAGAGAACGTGCATTACATACGCAATGTGCTAATGGACTGGATCTCACGAAAGACACGTTGTTAAGTCTTAAGTTCAAACTACAGACTATAAAAGATATTTGGAAGCTAGTGATCACTCCCAAATTAGAACAGGTCATTAATAAGCGAATAGACTTAACTCCCTCTGCTTTTCTCATTGAAATTATTTTGTCATATGATAATAATGATGAAGAATGCAGAGCTTTGTAAGTCAACAGAGACATTTTCTTTTTAATTCAAATAGCAGTTATCAATATTGTTAACAATGTTCTTCATTGCAGAGAAAACTTTTGTGGAGCTTCATGCAACAAAAAAAGAAAAGGAAAAAGAGAAAACAATGTCAATAGATTTAGTAGAAGATGTATAGAGACTTTACTGAGTAGTACAACGGATGAAAAGTTCAACCAATTTCTAATGACATTTACATTTGATACACCTACAGCCATATGTGTAAATAGTGTCACATGTATACACTCAAGTATTTTTGTAGGAGGTAATATAAATTATACATATATGTTGTATTATCAATATACGAATAATTAATAATAATTTTTTTTATACTGCTAGGTCGATATACCAAATTGTCTAGAGAAATCAGTCAAACACCGTGGCTTATAAATGGTGAAAAAAAAATGGGAACATCAGTTCAAGATATACTATGTAAACCTATTGCTGATGCTGTAACAGCTGAATGTATGTCACTTGATATAATTTCTATCATGCATGAGATTTGATAGCTCATTTTATTTAAAATATAATATGGTTTTATATCTGTACAGCCATCAAATTTTTATCATCTGGAAGAGAAGACGTAGATGTAAGAAATATATACACTGGAAGACCATTTGCAGTCGAACTAATTAATCCTCACATGACAAAAATAACAGAAGCGTTATTGTCAGATCTGGTCCAGAAAATCAATCAGTCTTCTAAAGAGGTACAAATTACATCGAATTTGAAAGTTTTATCCAGGAAGGATTTAAGGAAATTGAAGGAAGGAGAAGCTGTTAAAACAAAAATTTATCGAGCGCTTTGCGTTTGTCGCGCTAAGCCCGAGGATATGTTGCCTCTTGAAAAATTGAATGATTTGAAAAAAGTCAAAATAATTCAAAAGACACCGATTCGAGTGTTACACAGGCGGCCTCTTAGTCCGAGAACACGTTTAATATATGAAATGAGAGCTCGGTGGGTAAAGCCTCAAGAAATACAAACACTATTGACTACTGTGAGCGAAGATGCCAACATGTTTTTCGTATTAGATATTAAAACACAAGCGGGCACGTATGTGAAAGAATTTGTACACGGAGATTTCGGTCGAACGAAGCCTAGTTTATGCGAGATTCTTAAAACAGAAGTAGATATAGTTGCATTAGATGTAACAGGCATCAACCTAAATTGGCCTTAAAGATTACTTTAACGTTCCAACTACCAAAATGAATGGAATTTTAAATAAATTACAAAATAAACAATTTTGTTCACTTTTTAAAAATTTTATCTTCCTTTTATTAGATGGGCACGAATAAAATCTTTAAATCTTTAATCAATAATATGTACAAAGAAAAGTTGTCTTTTTTTTTAAATTGTATCAAGTGAATACGTGATTACTTAAATTTTAAATCAGTTGCTATTTGGGCAATGTTTTCGCCTTTGGTGGCGAAAATATGGAGCTCCGTTTAAGAGTCCGTAGAACGCCAATTTGTAAATGTCGAATATCGCGGCGCGTGTTTCAGATGGAGCATCAGGAGAACAGTGGTTGCAATGCGATTTGTTTCGCATGTATCATGCTCTCTTGTTCACTTGCTATTCCGGCAGCTCCTTCTTTCATGGCTGGAAGAGTTAGGGAAACCCTAACCTCCCGTACCTGTGCTTTTCTTTTACTTTATGGAATAGTTTTACTTTACTATCCTCTTCGCCGGTAATAATTTTGTTCCTACCTCCCAAAATTCCTCTTTCTTTTTACCACCTTTTTACGCAATAAATAAGAATTTTTAATAATATAAAAATATTCTTTATTGAAATACAGTCGGTATGTTGCATTACGGTTCACGCGGTCGAAAACACCTCCAAACGTGATCTGGACCTCTACTCATGTTATGCGATCCTAATGTTAGAAGTAGATTTTGAGTCGAGTTTCACAATTACCTTATTTTGAACGACGAATTCAATGCAAGCTCTAGATGCACGCGTGCACGTAGCAAGGAAATTTTAAATTAATTGAACATTTGTACACAAGGGGATGAGAAAGTCGATAAACTGCCAGGTACGTATTCTGTGTTCTATATAATTCATTAAAAGATTCAATAATGTTGTCTTATTTTTCTCTTTCTGCTGTATATCTCTTACTCGTTTAACTAGTCAACGACCGGTTCATTCTGTAAATTAAATACTCTCTCATTAATGTTTTACCATTAAAATTCATATTATTTTCATAGACTATAACGTCTATGTTTAAACAATTTGAAACGTGAATAAGAAACATTTTATATTACTGAACTATCCAACTGAAGCACGTAATGTCTATTAACATTTGGAATAATTATTAATATAATCATTATTAACATTTGGGATTAACGAAAAGACAGTTGCGTATAAGTTGATCAATCGTCAACCTGGACAAGCTTGTTCTACATTTCTATTGCCCAATCCGTATGATCTTCTTTACCAACAGAGGCAAACGAAGTATCGCAAATAATTAGCCAATAGCTGATCTGGACAAATGTGTATTATTATTTGATTGGCGATGCTCTTCACGATTTGTCCGAAATATATATTCCTTGATCAGCAGAAGTCCTAATGCGGATTGGAACTTTATGAAAAGGACGCACATGCATGTATCCGATGTGGATTTGTAGGGCGCCGGTTGTGGATCCATAGATTTTCTGAACACACACCCCATACACACAAGAATTGCTTGCTTTCACTGAAAAGGTTATTTAGAGTTTGGTTTCTGTGTTGGTTCCTTAATTCTCGTGGCTCTTGGGGACTTTGATTTCGCCAGAGAAGTATATTCTGGTGTACTCTGTGCTTTCACCCTTGTGCTGCCCGCGTTTGATGAAATTTCGGCGCACAAAGTGCCTGGAATCGAACCTCGGGATCGGTATCGTTCAGCACCGTGGTAAAGCCTGTGGTAACGTCACGATCCACGTCCGTCCACGGTCCTGACTATATTTCGCGCCTAAAAACGTTCAAGTTATCTGAACATATACTTGTTGCAGATTAATGTCAGGCATATCGAGTGCCAGGCTCTCCGAAGAGCGGAAGGCATGGAGAAAAGATCATCCTTTTGTAAGATATATATGTTTTACTGCTACTACCCGCTACGATCTCAAGTCGCGCGCGCGTTTCTAACTTCGCTATCTGTTGCTCGAAACTTCTGCATCGCCCCTCCTTTGCATTATTAAAAAAAATTAGAAATATTTCTCGATAGAATGTTTAATCACGTTTTTTTATCGACAGCTCGCGAATTTTTTATTGAATGACTATCGATGTCCTAACCTTATGCTTATAAATCACCTTTCAAAATTCGAGAGAACATCAATGAAGACAATTGAAGTTGTAAAATATTTTCCGCCTCGAATTCACATTATTTTGTGACTTAGGTATTGTATAGTCTAAAAGTTGGAAATGCTTCTATTTTCAATGTTCTCCATAGTGTAGACACATCACATAATACGATCAAAATATGTTTACTATCTCCGCATAACGCAGTCATATAACTTCGTATAATACATTCAAAATATTGTTTAAAAACACCGTTCATGTAAACGGTATTTTAGGCAATATTTTTGATAATGTTATGTGAAGGTAGAGTATTTGTTCTAAAGACTATGAAAGTCTATTTAACCAAGTTACAATGCATCATTCATATCATAGGGATTTGTAGCAAGACCGACCAGAAGTGTGGATGGAACGCTTAACTTGATGAATTGGGAATGTGCGATTCCTGGCAAGAAATCTGTAAGTTAAAATATATTTAGAACATCTTTCTAGTTTACTTGTGGCCTCTGTCACGTTACTAACATTATTTAATACAAAATATTGTAGACACCATGGGAGGGTGGACTCTATAAATTGCGTATGATCTTCAAGGATGACTATCCGTCGAGTCCGCCAAAGTGTAAATTCGAGCCTCCACTATTTCATCCAAACGTATATCCCTCAGGAACTGTGTGTTTGTCACTCTTAGACGAGGAAAAAGACTGGAGACCAGCTATCACCATCAAACAAATTTTACTTGGCATACAGGACTTATTAAACGAACCTAATGTCAAAGATCCAGCCCAAGCAGAAGCATATACAATATATTGGTAGTACTCTATCGGTTTAATCTGTCATATGTCAACAAAAAGAAGTATGGACTAATCGTTTGTTTTGTTACAGTCAAAATCGCTTGGAATATGAGAAGCGTGTCAGAGCTCAAGCTAGAGCAATGGCTCCCCAGGAATAAGTCTATATTAAGTATCATTAAATTCAAATATTCCAACATATAAAGAAGTCATTGTATACCTATAGTATAATATTCTAATATTTGATCAACGTTTCATATCTTTTTTATAAGTGACATTAAATGTACAACGTAGTTAATTTTCTATTTTCTGCATTTTCGTTTGTGTAACAAAATTCTCATGCACTATCATCAATAGATTATTCGTTATATTAAGTACAAAAAAAATGAGGTATTGTTTCCCCTTAAAAAAACTATTACGTACCATACGTTGTTAACAAGTTAAACTGTATTTCAGAAGTTTTTTTGTTAACAGTTTGTCCATATATTATGAGTTTACGCATTTTTCTAAACTAAAGTATAATTCGTAAGGCTTGCTGGCAATTACTGATAAGTCTGTGGTGAACTGTGAATCCAATTCTACAATAAAAATGAAAAGAACAACGCTTATTTCCTCTTCAACCCACAAGCACTCTATGTTTCTGACGAACATGTATTTAAAACTATTTTGAGAATTGTATAAGTACAGAAATAAAATTACGATTTATTTAAGGTCCCATTCTTTTCATTAGAAATTTGACCTTCTAATGAATTTTATAAGTATCGACTAGAGCTGCGACAGAAGCGTCGGTATCGCAAACAAGTATGATAATACGGTGAGGTAAGATTAAACATAGCATTGATCAACGTTCAATCTTGCTGCGTGTTTCACGCTGGTTTGATTATCGATCGCCGCATCCGTGTTACTTGCCTCCATCGCGAAGCATGAGTTAACGTACGATTAAATTTCCAAGTAGAAAACCTGTGCCGGTTGTTCGTACAAAATTATTGTCGTTAAAACGGACTCGGTGCATTAAAATTACAAGTAAATTCGTGAAACATATAGAATCATGACTAAGCAGTCAGCATGGAAATTAAACGTTGCGATCGCATCGGTTTGCCTCCAAGGATTTGCTCTCTCTTACTACGGTTATGTTGTGGAAGTGGCGAAAGAAGAAAACGATTCCTACGAAGCGATGTGCGACATTAGCGAACACATCAGCTGCACCAAAGCGTTTATGTCAGAGTAAGTTTTTACGATATTTATTCGGTGATGTAGCCAGTCGCAGTTGATCGCAGTCATTTATAGTCGAGCAACGTGAAGTTAACACTTATCTGCGCGGCAGAATTTTAAAAGGGAACATGAATGTAACATTGAAACGAATGTAGTTCAAAGAAGCATTTTATTTCAGATACGGTAAAGGTTTCGGAATAATTCCAGCAACATCTCCTCTGTACATGCCAAATTCTTTATACGGATTAATGTTTTATGCTTTGGTCGCAATACTCGGTACGTAATCGCATATGTTTCTGCTAGAACGCGGTGCAGTTCTCTTCATTGTTAGATAGCGCGCGTAATTCAAAAACTAACGAAAAATTACGATTATGTATTTTGCGCGACAGCGACAATAACAAATAATAATAATAAGTTAACAAGGCACACGTTATAGCAGAATCGATTAAATATTGTATTTCATACTTTTATTAACGTTCTAATAACTGTTTGCTTTTAGGTATGTTCAATAAATATTTCACTTCAGCTCTTGTTGTAACGTTAGGAGTTTGTTCGAATCTTGGTTCGATTTACCTGGCCTATATTTTGTACACTCTAAATAATGTGTGCGTGGTCTGTGTTAGTACTTACATCGTAAACGCTTTTATACTAATACTTGCTGTTAAAAAACATCGAAAACTATTCCAAGATGGCACAAACAAGAAGAAGAAAAAGAAGAAGAAGTCGGAATAAAGATTTCTGAGAAATATCCGAAGACTCTCGATGACATTTTCATTTATCATGAGACACAGCAGTCGATAGCAGATTAATTGTTGTCTCGACTTGTTAAATTTTTAACCTTTTTAAATTGAATGTTAAAAATATTAAAGCGATCGTAATAAACGATTCGAAAAAAGCGTATCATCGTGCTTAGAGTCGCGTTAGGTTCCTGAAAAAAAGTTCGCACGGTGATGGTACATTTTAATTAATTAGATTTCTCGTCGAACAAACAATAGTTAACGCTGAATAATCGATGTTTCTGCATTTCTACTGTGGGCTAAGACCAGAATTTACTTTATTATAAAATCTATGCTTGTTATTCCGTAAACTAGTCTATAAAAATATAAATGTACATAAACATCCGCGAGTTGCTTTGTTCTTTTACGGATTTTATGGGGTCCTATCAGCGAAGTTTCATGCACTATTTTCATATAAATCTTGTGCAAGTAAATGTCACAAGTCAAACTGAATTATTGTAAATCGTATCTTTGTACAACATTCGTGAATAAAATATTGTTACGAACGAATCGTTATCGTTCACTCTTCCCTACAAATCTGATATGTAATCTTGGATTGTCGGCCGATATATATGTACGAGATACAGAAAATGTAAAACTCACATAGCAAAATTAAGTATTCGATTACTTTACACTATACAGAACAACATACCGATGGAAATGAAAGATAAGTTATTTTCAATTCAAGGTATTAGGAATATACTTAAAGTAACGAGGAAAGAACCAGAGTATACGCACTGACAAGTCGAAGATGAATCGCCGGGGGGGAGTTGAAGTTTACGAAGGATCGTCTCTGACCTCGAATCTGCGACTAATGTCGCGTAACCTACAACTAAGAACGATTCGACGCGAGATTCAATATTCGTATCTACTGTCCCTCAATAAATCCTTATTGCTACGGCTGATGCTAGCCAATATTCCAGGGCTTTTCAGAGGGGGCGTTTCGTTCAGCCGATTCAACTGTAAGCTGGATGTGTATGGTATCCTCGATGGTGGCGAGTTCGCGCCATTTCTAGCCGCCTCGACGTTGAAGCTTTTGCTGCGCGACAACGACGACTTGTACGTTCTTTCCGGTTTCACAGGTGCCTGGACAGTTTGCAAGGACTGCACCGGTATTTTCGGCGATTTCACTGTGTTCTTTATCGATATATTGATCATGCTCCCGTATTGGCGGGACTGGTTGGTCGGCGGGGCCATGGTATGGTAAGCAGTCTGCTTTACCGGCTGGTGATATCGCGCCGTCGACTGGCTTCTCGATCTGCACGTCTGTCCAACCGAGTGCAAATTCCTCGGCAAGGTTTGCGTGATCCTCGGATGGTCGTCCCTCTCGTGATTGTTGACCAACCGACCGGTGGATTTGCTAAACCTGTCTAGGGAACTGGAGGCGGCGCTGAAACCGCCCCGATTCGAGAATTTCACTGGCGGTCGTTCTTCGGATGAGGATGAGGAGGAGAGGAGGACCGGCGCTCGGTCAGCCGAAACTACATAGCGGCAACGGCAACACATGCTATACTCCCACTTCATGCAGCCTTCACCCATTGTCGAAGCGACCGACTTTCGAAGCGTCGATGTACACGATTTATAGGCAAGCGAAGCGCAACGTCTCCCGGTTCTAACTCGATTACATAAGCCTGTATCGGCTTACCGTCGACTATCTCGCCACGATCCGCTCGCAGACGAGTAACGCGACACCCTACCTTACAATTAGCTTATACTACACGGATCGATTAGCCGTCTGAAGGGTTTTCTCAGGCGTCTGCACGCGAAATGTCGTTCTTCGCCGATCCGTTCCGAGAAACATAGCTCTTCTCGAATGTTACGCGCGCGAATCGGTATCCTATCACCGCTAATCAACAGTACATGTGTATCATTTTTATGCCGCGCCTGTTGACGGCAATTCGGTATGCACCGGTGCATCTCCTTCGTCGATAGACGGGCGTCGCGGCGCGACGCGCACAGGATAATTTGATTATAAATATTAAATATTTTCGCGGCTATGTCTGCCGGTAACCAGGACGATGGAAAACGACATTTTGCATGCATCGATCTAATAGCCTGTGCTAGTAGTAGCTCGGTTACCTGTACTGTGTTTCGGCAGTGGCTCGGCTACGGATCTTCCCCGAGCGTCTCGCGTCTCTGTACCCTTTCTCGCGGCCGTAGATGCTTCCCCCAAAGGGATCCTCCCCAAGGTAATACCTGTGAACAGGTGGCGTCGACTCGCTTCTTTGCCACTGTTCCTGAACAATTTGATCGCTAGTTCTGACGGTCTTGTTGATCTTAGCGTTGTTGTTGTTCGCCGCAGCGTTCCTGGGCGACCTAGGCGGTCGTTCCGGAGGTTTCTCCTCGGCGTCCCTTTCGTTCACCAGAGGGATATTCTTGTCGATTACGTTGTATTGGAGGTAAGTCGGCCCGTTGTCATCGGTTTGCGTCAGTTGAGAAGTGGAGCTGCTGCTGGCGCGTTTGCTCTTCCTCTCGGAGCTGGCTGAGCGCAGTTTTCCGACCAGTTTCCTGAACGACTCGCCTATCTTGTACTTCGAGTGTCCCGAACCTTTAACGATCACGAGAACATCGGCTTATCTTATCCGATCTAGTGGTCCGAGCGAGTTCAGACTTACTTTTCGTCGGTCGAGCAGCAGACGACGACTCATTGGCTTTTTTGTTGCTCCTCGACGCGGACTGCGGAGCCGGTGAGGTCGACCCGGATCTTGGGGTCGGCTTCTTTCGAGTCTCCCGATCCAATGTTTGCTCCTGCACGTCTGGGCCACGATTCTCCCACGTCCTTTGGATAACGTGGACAGGGCTCGAGGTTCGAATTGGCATGGAGCCGGAACCGTTCAGGCTTGTTCGCCCCTCCGATTTCGTCGACCACTGAAAACCATCGTCGGGATTACTTATTACCCGCTTTCAATCGCTGGTTGCAATTGTTAGAACTAACTCGAACCTGTTCCTTCGATCTTCGTCGAACGGGTGGAGACGGGGTACGTTGCCGGTCGTTCACCGATTCCTGATGCTCCGATCGATGAATGGATTCGTACGTTTTCGAGTACGTGCACTCTTGGACCTGATTCCTCGGAGGCTCGTTGCCGTGGCCGTTCGTGTGAACGATCTCCACGTACTGCGACGGGGAGCTGGTCCTTGCATGGTTCTGCCTTCCTGTATAACCGAAAATATTTCGTTAAACGAACGACCCGCTCGTGATTAATGTATCTAATTTTCAGTTACCTTTTCCTTGATATCTCTCCGACCAGTCTGTGATCCCGTGGAAATAGCCCAACGGCGAGGTCGACTCTCTGCCGGCGTTGCGACTCGGTTGTTTGCTCGCGAAACTACCGTTCTGATGGTCGCGTTCTTTGGAAGTGCAAGACTTCATGGTGACGTTGATGTAGCTGGTGTTGGTGCTGGTCGGAGGGTGCACGTCGTCGGCTTCGATGGATCCGTGGGAGGATCTCGATTCGCTGCCGAAATGGCTCTCCAGCCACTTGGAGGTCTCGAACTTTCTGGCTTCATCTTCTTCCTCCAGGTCGAGCGGTTTCTTCGTCAACACGTCCTTCCGGGACGGGAAACTCTCAGCCGGGAAGCCTGCGAAAACGATCCGTCGATTTTAAAAAGAACCGTTACCGTCGGCACGTCGCTTAGGCGTTGACGAATTCACGTCTACCAGAATGTTTGTGCAAACGGGCGGTCCTCATGGCCGTCGATAACGGTGTCCAGTCGCCGATTCGTTCTCCCTCGGTTGTCTCCGCGACGTAGCGCATCTCTCGACCGACCTTCTCGCCGCCCGAGATGTAATCGACAACGTCCTCGTCCCTTCTCTTGACGAACCTCTGAGAGCTCTCTTTCCTCGTCTCCGTTGCCTCGTCACCGTTCAGATCGACGCTCGCATCCTCCTTCGCGGGGACCTCGTCGTCCTTTATCTGCGGATTATCGTCGGTCGGTCAACGTTTACACGGATTAATCGACATTTGGTGCGCTTATAAATAAAATAAAATATATTGTCCAAGTATCACAGGACGATAGTATTACTTATGGGAAACCTCACAACACAAATTTGGAGGAAAGCGATCTTGTAATTCCGTTAGCACGCGAAACAGAATGATTTACACAGAGATTACGAACCTCCTCGTGCTCCACAGTGCGTTTCCTCTCGGTGACGATCAGACCGTCGGGCTTCAGCTCCTTCTTCTCCAAGGTCTTCTCCGTGTCGATCACCTTGTTCGATTTGGTCGTATGCTGGACGACCCTGGGTCCTGTTTGCGACGCCAACTGCTTGCAGGACTCGGCCAGGGCGGCTCTCAGATCGCCCCGGTTGTTCCTCACCGCGTTCTGGTACGCCTGCGGGAACGAGACGCGGTGTGTGTATGTGTGTGTGTCACGCTCCTCCAGTTAGGTGCCGGGACAACAGGCCGCGCCGGTTGTCGAAGACGATTATCCTGGCAAAAGGATCGTGCCTAGCGCAGGGGCAGCGCACCTCCCGAAATACACCGCGACAAACCGGATCGTCCGGTGGCCGGTGGTGGTCGGTGACCGGTGGCCGGCGCCCGGCGTCGAGGGCCCGGCCTTCGGGCCCGTTCGACAAGTGGATGGAAAGGTGTTTCTAACGGCTGAGGTCACGGCACCGGTCCCCCGACGGTAAAAATGAAACTCGCGAGACCTTGCGAAAGCTGGAACGGTTCGCGTTCGTGAAACGACGCGACGCGACGCGACGAACAAACGGGATCTATCGAAGAAAAAAATGGCAACGTTCGTTACCCGATGAACAACGGTTCCGATCCGACCGGCGCGAAACAGTCCCAAAGATCTCGAGAGAACGGTCCGCGATCGATCCGATCGAAGAGACACCGCGATCGCAGAACACCGCGGTACACTGATCCAGTGGTTCGCCGACGCGATAAGAGGCTCGACCGCGGGTCCACGAGCCAGCCGGAGAGAGAACGAGAGTGAGAGAGACGATACGGCCGCGAAACTACCGACGAGGAGGATAAGCTATCGCGAGGCAGAATCAAGCGAGATCGGGACAGAGACAACGAAAGAGAGCCTGTGGAATGTCCTGTGTCCGAGAGAGCCTCGCCAGGAGAGACCCGTCGAAGGCAGTTCGGCACGGAATAGCTGGTGCGACTGGGTCCGCATTGCGGCGATCGCAGTGATCTCCGCGATCGCTGCGATCGCGGCAATCATGGTATTCGCGGGCTGTTCGCGGCCGGTTCTCGGCCGGTTCGCCGGCATTCGGTGAAGGGAGAGGACGACGAGCCTCGGAACCGCAGAGATCATCGACTTCCACTTCTCGGCCCTCCCTTCTCTGCCCCCACCCCCCCCCCCCCCCCCCCC